TGTGTGTGTGTGTGTGGCCAGCTCAGCCCACCAGGGGGCGGGGCTGGCTGGCATGTGGTGCTGGAGGATTGAACCGCGGTCCCCGTGCTTTGCCAAGCTTGTTTCAAGTAGGTGCTTTAGACCACTGAGCCATCTCTCCAGCCCCAGTGTTACATTTTGGATCTTGAATGTTCTCCAGGGCCTTGTGTGTTGAACCTTCCCTTCTCTCTCTATATTCCCTTGCTTTCCTCCTCTTCTTTCCCCATCTCCTCCTCCCCTCCTCATTTCTTACTCTTCTCTTCCTTTCTCCTTCTTATTTAATAACTGAAGAAAACCCTTAGTTGGGAGAAGTGTCTCAAAGAATGAAAGTACAGGTTTCAGTCCTGTTTGCTTATTGGATGAAGCATAGTCTTTAGTGGAACAACTGTGGCCAACTTGAGCAAAATTGAAATGGTTATTGTGTAAGTTGAAGAAGTTTAAGAGCACAACATGTGTAAAATCAGTAAATATATAGGGAAAATGTTTACATAATGAAGCAAATAAACATATTCTCACATAGTTATCTTTGTGCAAAAAATAAAATAGTGCTGAAGGTTGAATGCTGTACCTCTGAGCTAGCCTCTCATCCCAGTCTTGCCTGCCTTTCTTCCTCCTTGGGGGGAAGAACACCTGAAATCCAGTCTTTGACCCAAGGGTGGCCCGTGTCACAAAGAATGGCTTATGTGGACGTTAGCTCTCTAGGCTGGTTCATCCTGCATCTCTGCTGCTCTGTATCTTCCCATTTCTTCCCCACCTCTTTCTACTTTATAACCACTATGCAATTTCCTAGATGTGTATATTTGCCTCCCTTTTAGATTCTAAATATATGTGAGATCGTGTGATATTTGTTTTTCAGTGTCTCAGTTATTTCACTTAGCATAATGTCATCAAGATTCTTGTACAAGTTGTGGCACATGGCAGAGCCTTTTTCATTGATAAAACTGAACAATATTCCATGATGTGTGTATCTTCTTATATACAAAACCAAATTTTCTATTAGTACATGTTTGCAGCATGTAGTGATTATATTTCTTCTTTTATGTATTTAGTACAGGCTCTGCTGGGTCTCACTACACAGATCAGACTTGTAGTGATTCTTCTGTTTTCAGCCTCCCAAGAGCTGGGATTGCAGGTGTGCTGCAGCACACCCAGTCTCAATCACTGTCTCAGCACACCCCAGGGGGCGGGGCCGGCACAGCTTGCCAGGGATTGAACCTCTGCCACTGTGCTCTGCCTAAGCAGGGTTTAGTCCGCTGAGCTATCCTGCTGGACCGTGGTTATATTTCTTGAGTGGAGTTGTTACATATCTTAATTCTCTCTACTTCCTCTTCTCCTTCTCTCTATTCCTCTCCTCTATCACCAGGTTCCCTTCCTATTGTAATAGGTTCCATTCCTATTACAAAGTATTTCTTACCCTGTTTCTCATGACCTATCTTTATTTTGCTCTTTATACCTTGAATTTCTTGTATAAGAGAAGCCATGTGATACTTAAGCTTGTGAGTCTGATTTATTTCACTTATTATGTTCTCAAATTCCATCCATTTTTCTACACAATGCTCAAGTTTATCTTTCTCTATGGCAGAGTACTACCCCATTGTGTCCAAGTACCACATTCTCCTCATCCATTCATTTGTTGATCAACATATAGTCTGCTTCCAAGTGTTAGCTGATATGAGTTGTGTTGCTATAAACATGGGCATGCATGGAGCACTGTGGGATGATGTCATTAACCCTTTTGCAAAAACCCATAGAAGAGAAATATTTGGGTCTAATGGAATTTCCAGTTTCAGCTTATGAGGAACCATCACACTGGCTTCCATAGTGACAACAGCACATTTCTTTGGTTTGTGTCTGTGTCTGTGTTTATGTCTGTGTCTGTGTCTGTGTCTGTGTCTGTGTCTGTGTCTGTGTCTGTGTCTGTGTCTGTGTCTGTCTCTGTCTCTGTCTCTGTCTCTATCTCTCTATCTCATGCATACTAGACAATCACTTTACAATTGAAATGTGTCCCAGCCTTGCCTATGCCAATAGACACACAGTGTTACATTTTGTTTTTTTTTTTTAAATATTTATTTATTTTTATTACATTTATTTATTGTGTGTGTGTGTGTGGCCAGCTCAGCCCACCAGGGGGCGGGGCTGGCTGGCATGTGGTGCTGGAGGATTGAACCGCCATCCCCGTGCTTTGCCAAGCTTATTTCAAGTAGGTGCTTTAGACCACTGAGCCATCTCTCCAGCCCCAGTGTTACATTTTGGATCTTGAATGTTCTCCAGGGCCTTGTGTGTTGAAGGGTCTGCTGTCTCTGGTTCCTGGCTACTGAGAAGGGAAAAATGTTGAGGATACATTTGAGTTGAGGAGAGAAGGTGTGACTAATTCATTACAGCTGCCATGTGCACCAGAGTAGAAGTGAGGATATGCTTGCTAAATATCTGAGTTCCTGTAACCAGCTGGTCTCCAAGGTCCCTTATAGCTTTTCGTCTTGCCTTAGCCTCCTGGGTGGCTGGAATTACAGGTTTCTCTACACCCAGATTTGCCTTATAATGTTGACAAGGATGGTGCTGGTGTCTGGATACTTTCTTGGGATATTCTGGAGCTGCATCAGTCATGTAGAATAGTCATTTGGTGTAGAAGCACGGTCTGTATTTTTGAAAGTTCCTAATGCATCTGCTGTTATGAAACAGACAGGTTGAGTTTCCTGATTCTCTGTTCATGCTGGGCACACCCATGTGGCACCCAGCCATGGAGAGAAATGAATCAAATTTGGGTGTCCTTTCACATCTGCCTCTTGGCTTATACACACAGGGAAGATTTCAATGCATTCTTGCAAAGTTTTACAACTGTTTATTGAACATTCATTATTTCAATAATATTCTCTTGGCCCCCAGGAATGGTATTTTCTAGCATCTCACCCAGGGTAAGACAGTAACAACTAAAAAGACTACTAGGAAAGGCTTTCTGGAATAAGTAGGGATGGAAGAGGATGAGGAGAGATCAGGCCCCTTCATTTGGGGGAAACGGTGATAGCAGATGCTTAGTACAGGTATGGGAAAGGAAAAAGACTTGTTGAAAGACTGCACTCAGGAGGAGCCTGGGATGAGTTTAGCTGAGTGCAGGCATAGAGTGAGATTATAAGGCTGTGAGAAATCAGACGTGGAGTTTGGCTTTGGTCTCTAAATAACAGGGCTCATTGTGTCTTCTGGATCATTCCAGGGAGATTTCTCTTTTAGACAGTGTTAAGGAAAGATGAATCACAGTAAGAGAGGAAGACAGAGGTAGACACATGCTAGCTGCAAAGAGAAAGATAGGAGAAGATGGAGATGAAGCCTTAAGGGTGATGTGGAGGGATGAGAAGGCAGGTATAAAATCAGGTTGGACTGGCATGGTGGTCCATGAAACATAGAAAAAGAGAAGGGTCATAGGTAGCTTCAGAATTAACAGACTGTGGCCTAAGGGTAAAGATGCTAGGTAATTCTTGGAGGAAAGACCAGGAGGAAAAAACTCATTAGCAATGAATTTTTGATGATGGTGGATACATCTACTGTGCATGGAATTGGAAAAACACGCATCTGGTCTAACTCCCAGCTCAGTGCTGAAACCTCATGGGGGTGACCATAGCTGGCAGCTGTTGAAAGTTTGTAGAAGTCTTCTGAAGAGCTCCTCCCTCCAACATAGGGAAGGGTTTATTTAGGTAGTTCTAATTAGAAAGCCTTTCTGATAGATCAAGAGGAAGCCGATTGTGAAGTTAGAACCCAGCTCTGCCTCTGGCTTCCTGTGTGGCAATCTGCAAGTCACTTAACATCTCTAGGTCTCTGGAGCTTGACCTGTAAAATAACAGGGTAGGATCTCTGATGCTGTGATTCAGAGTGGCTGAAAGTTGAAATGGAAAGAACAGAGAAATGGATGGATAGATTTTCTTGGAGAGAGGGCAGAGTTCAGGAACTTAGGGTAAGAAGCATTAGAAGGAAATGAACCATAAAGGGAAGAGGCAGCTGCATTATCTAGAGAAAAAGTCCATAAGGTCGTTGTAAGCCAGGGCACTAACTTGCTATCCAAGGAAGTTTAGGATAATAATTTATGCCTGATGAAAATTGTAGGGTTTAGGAGTGAACCCGTAGGGTATGGGGAAGAATGGGTGCTGCCAAGGAGGTTCTAACTCTAAGTGAGTTGCAGGATCCCAGTGAAGGTTTGGTTGTGAAGAGAAATGGGCAGCAAGCATTGGTATATCAGTGGAAAACCTTGAGCTTAACTAGTTAGTTCTGTGTGGATATGATTCACAAAAGTAAAAGAAAGATCTCACTTGAACACAGAAGCACAAAGTAGGATAAGTGAATATATTCTGAGGTTACATTAATGGAGGTAGGCAGTCCAGCCTGAGGGAGGTGATGTTCATGTTACCATCATATCTTGTACTCAGCTTTGGCTGGCTTGCTCTGAGAAGAACACCGATGAGGGAATGAGAAGAAAGACAGTTTGGGAAGAGGAGATTTTTGAGGAATGGGGTGAGCTGCCCTGTAACTGTCTGTAGGACCAAGAGGATACTTGCAGGAGAGCTTCTCCTTGGCTTTTCTACTTTTATTGAAGATAGAGCTTTTTCCTGAGGGTGCTTTGGACTTCAGGGTTCACTTTCCTCATTCTCCCTTCCTGAAGCAGTTCTGCATCTGCCATACGCCGGGTCACCTGAAGCAATACATGTGGTCAGTGTGGGGACTGGGCCCCTGGGGGAATTGGTATTGCAGATTCATGGGGTGACGGTTAGAGAACAGGAAAGGTCAGTATCCATGGCCTAAGACAAAAGACCTTTGTTGTCTCCTCCTAGTCCATAGTTTGTATAGAATCATTGATTGGACTTTTCATGGATGTACTGGAGATTGAACTCAGGGTCTTCACACAGCCACTTTTTATTTTTTAATGCCTAGGCTGACTTCAAACTTGCAATTCTGTCTCAGCCTCCCAAATAGCTGGGATTACAGACTATTCTGTCTGGTTGAAATAAATAAATATATATATATATATATATATATATATATATGCAATAAAACATGTCACCATTAGAAGAAGAAAAAAATGTTTGGCCAAACATTAATTAAATATGAAAGAATTATTCAAAGAAGTTTTCTGTATTTCATTTAATCTCTCTCACATACTGTGGGCTTTGGGACCCTGTACTGGGGAAATTTATTTGCTGGCATAAAGACATCCTACTTTCTTTGTTGGGATTTGGGGCTGGGGAAATGGAGGAAGGGTGGGAGGGGTCTCAGCCTGCTCCACCCAGGGGAGGTTCCAGTTCTCTTGTCCCAACTTACCTCAGTCAGGAGTTCCAGGATGGATGCTTTCCAATTTATGAACACGTCTACCAGTGTCTGGATGAAGTAGGAGCCTTCCTCATCGTGTCTGTAGGCAATGTATCCTGGGGGTTTCAGAGAGGTCAGTTGGTGTTTAGGGGTCAGGAATGGGAGGTGAGTGTGAGGAGAAGAGGCTACTGCAAGACAGCGAGATGCTCCTACCTTCCACTGTGGAGTAGACATGGAGGATGTCTGTGTAAGTCGGGATGGTTTGGGGGCTGTCGTCAGTGACCATCATGACCTCACTCCCACCTACTGCTTCACCGGGGTCCCTGTGTTCTGAAAAACCAAGAAAAGGAAAAGGCAGAGTCAGAAAGGAAGACATGTGTGTGTGGGGAGAAGGTACTGGGACAGTCAGGCCACATGCTGGGTTTGGGATCAGGTTGGGGGAAAGACCAGGGGCTCTGTGTTCTTGGTTCTGTCCCCACCTCCTCGGCAGGCCTGCACAATGAACACTTTAGGCTTGGCTCTCAGGGCCTGGCAATTCTTATTGTTCAGGACCTGGAAGAGGTCATCCAGCCTGACCATCTCCCCATCTTCTCCCTCGAGGAGGCCCTCATCCCCATGGGCCATGAGCACCACGAAGGCACAGCTAACAGGCTCTTCCCAGTTATCTATGGCCTGCTGGAATTTTTCCATCTCTTCTTGGAATTGCTGGAGGGAGAGAAATGAGCAGGCTCAGAGAGAGGAGCCACTCCTCTGGTTCAGGCCCCTTCCCTCCTGGAGCTGGCAGTCAAATACCTGGGCAGTGGGATCCCTTTTCATGGTGCTTTCGAATCCCAGATGCCGGAACATGCTTTCCAGGGCTTTCAGGTCTACCTCTGAGCCTTCCCGGGCTTTGGTGACACACAGTGTCAGGGCTAGGCGGGCGCCTGACATATCATACTCCTCCTGGCCAAGAGGTGACAGGGTCAGCAAGGGCAAGAGGGTCAAGGACATGCAGAGGATGCACTAAAGAATGGCCTGGGGTTACACTGGCAGGTAAAATACAAGGGGCCTTGTGACACTCACATTTCAAATAAGCAAGTTGGTAGAATAAGTACTTGTGTATCCTGAATATTGTGTACAATATGCTTACAAGACACATGCATTTCTTGTGAAATTCAGACGCAACTAGGATCTCCTATTTTTATTTGCCAAATCTGGCAGTTGAACCTGAGATCAGGTTCTCTTTTGTCAAGATCTGTTGGGTATGTTACTGCCTTTGGGCCCCAGCTTCCAAATTCAGACAAATGTGTGGGTGTGTAATTTTGAAAACCCTTTCCTATTGTCACATTCGATGGCTATTCTCTCTCCCTGTCCTTTCTAAGAGTGTTCAGAGCATTCCTCTATCAATTTCTCACCTGCAAAGGCCTCCAAGTTTCTGAAGCTAATACCAATATCCTACCTTTATTCCTTCCAAAGAAGAAGGATTTGGGTCAATAACTGTTTTTGGAAGAGAAGTAGGGTACTCAGTCCATAGTGATAAGAACTTGATCCTTGGAGACAGATACAGCTGTCTGACCTTCCTCTTCCTCAAGTTAGGCTTCCGCCTCTGTGTCTATTTTTATCATTTGGAAGACCACACAGTTTTTCCTAGCTCTGAGTATGAATCAGTATTTTTTTCTCTCTACTCTTACTGAAAGATTAAGTCCTCACATCCTCCCTTCCCAGTTTTTCCTGCTCCTCTCAAACTGCCCTCCTTCCCCACCTACCTCCTCCAAAGGCTGAGGATCACTCATTTCTCTTTTGATTCTGGGCTCAGCTCTCAGCAGTGTTTCCCGGCTCTGAAGATCAAGAGAAGATAGGTTGAAGGTATCCAGTAAAGGCAGAGGATCAGGGAATACAGTGATTCATCTATCTGGGTTTTTGAGATAAAATAAGATAACTGGCATATGTATGGTCAGAGCTGGGTAAGAGATGGCAGTCCCTGGTGCAGGTCCTCTCCAGACAGAAGCCCTCAAAATGCTATCCCTGCTCCCTCTGGAACCTCCCCTTCCCTGCTTCAGAACAGTTAACTGCCTGTGATGGACTCAACTTCTTGCAGAAGACAATGGATTGGTGAGAAGGTCAACAGACCCATTTGCTGCTGTCCTACTCAGAAGATCACTGGCTGGGGGGACATAGTTAAGGAGACACCTTTGGTTTGCATGGTGAGAATCCCATCAAAATTGATGAAGACTGCTTTGAAACTGTCTTGGTGGGTCTCTGAGAGGCTGAGGAGGTCTCTCTCCTTTAAGCCTGAGCATCCATTAAAGTTCTCTATTGTCCTCTCTGAGCTCCGTTTTGCTCTCTGGCTAAACAGAAGACTTTTGGCACATCCTTGGCACTTTTCCATTTGCTTTTGTCACCTCTTTATCACTTCTTTGTCAGCCTGGAATTATTACAGAAGATCGCTCCTTGATCATACGGGTGGAGTAATGCCTGCCATACCTTCTGCATCTGTTCTTGCCCCCACTAACCCGACCAGTCATCCATCTGTCCATGTATGCATCTCTTTACGCATATACCCATCATCCATGCATGCTTCTATCCATTAATCTATCCAGGCACTCATTCACCTATCATTCACCAGCTGTGCACCCACTTATCCATCTGTCTTTCCACCTACTCCTCATTCCATCTGCCTATCTGTCCATTCATCCACCCATCCATCCATTCATCCACCAAACTCTGTAGCACACATTTCCTGGGTCTCTATTATTTGTTAAATATTGGGAACATACTATATAAGATAGTCTTCTTGCTCATATGTAGCTTTAGTGTGTGACAGAAGTGAACATCAAATCTCTCTCTCTCTGTCTCTCTATCTCTTTCTGTGTCTCTATGTGTCTGTGTCTGTCTGTCTGTCTGTCTGTCTCTCTCCCCCCCATGCACACCAGAACCAAGTGCTTGCCTTTCCCAGCTGTGCCTGCTGAAGCAGCTCACTCCTCCTCTGAACTTCAGTTTTCCTGTCTGAAAGGGAGTCCTGGGAAGAGCGGAGCACTGGGTGCTTCACAGCGAAGGCAAATCAAGGTAGGCTCTGTGATTGTGATTTACTTCCTGGCCTCTCCCTTCTCCCGATCCCCAGAGCGCAGCTTGTTTATACTTGCTTTATAGCAGTAATGATTTTCTTTCACTCAGTAAGTGTCACATTTATCATCTCTTTGTGGTTGTATACACACAGAAAGATCACATGACAAATATATTTATAGGTACACAAATAATTTTAAAGAAAGTGACATGCGCTTTGTAAAACAGCAGTGATTTTGATTCTCATTCTCATGGCCTTACTGGCAGCTCAGACTTCAAGAGGGAAAGCCTGGCACCTTCATCTCTGTCTCCAGCAGTAGGCATAGAGGTGGTGCTGGGGAGAATTTATTGAGTAAATAAATAGTCCATGAATCAAAGAAAGAAAACCCAGAGAGATGGATGGATGAATGGATGGAAGTTTCTTCAGTTCTGCCAGAGTTGGCTAGAACATCCGTGAAGGGACAGGTGTGTGTGTGTGTGTGTGTGTGTGTGTGTGTGTGTGCACAAGCGACAGAGAGAGGTGGAAGAAGTGACGGCAGCCACATCACTCACCGGCTGTAGACGCAGTTGTTCCTTAAGGCCAGCCTGAGTCTTCTAGCTCTCTCTTCTTCTGGTCTGGGGCTGGGCCTCAAGGAGGAGTCGAACCCACGTGCTGAGCCTGGAGAAGGGGCTGACAGTGCTGGTTCTTCCCGGGTTCTCCCGAGAGGCCTGGCTGTGAGACAGCACAATCGTCCCTCCCTTTTATTGCCAGTGAGTCTTCTGTCACTCACAAAACCTCACGATGAGAGAGACACACCCTCGGTGTAGAAATAGAGTCAAACGCCCTAGAGTGAGAGATGGCAAGGCTCCGGCGACACCTCCAGGCTGAAGAAGCTGGAGCAGAGGATTCAACCCAGCCAAAGCGTGGTGCTGGGGAAACCACAAGACCCTCCTCTGCAGCGCTAGGCTGAGCTCGCCAGCGCCAAGCATTCCTATCAAGGAGCCAAGGAGCCGGCTCACCCTGCCACCTTCCACGGGAAAGATAACACCAGCCTCACTTGCTTATCACCACATCACGTCCTCAGGAGCCCTGAGAAATCACCATTGTTCCTCCCACTTTGCAAATGAGGAACCTGAAGTCCATGTGGTGCAATCGGTGACTTCACATTGTCATCCCCTCAGTGACTGGCACAATGGGAATCTGAGTCAGGAGGGTCTGGCCGGCTGGTCCAGCTGCTTCAGTTGGTGCCTCATGTTCACCTCAGCCCCTCTCTTCTCTTTCTCTTGGCCTTTCTCCTCTATTTTTTTGACATAATTTTATTGATGAACAAATAGCAATGAGACAGTTTCAAATCAAATCGGTAGGACAGTTTCAACAATCAACACACCACATACATTTTTCTTAGTGGTTAATTGCTGTACAAGATGCAGACCTGCTATCCCATTTACAAACACCATTAGAACAAATCATTCTATTCATTAAGAGAATGTAACTATACATCCATCCTAACCACTTTTGAATACACAGACACAAAATGGACATTCATCTGCATCCCCCTTTCTCCTCTATTTTTATCTCAGATTTTTTTTTTTGTATTTTAGGGAAGGGTCTACATACAGAGTGTTCAGGGTCTCACTACTAGATCAGACTTGTAGTTTTATCTCAGAATTTTGTTTTGTGATTTTTTATTTTGTATCAACAGCCTTCATAAGATATTCACACAGCATATGGCTCTCCCAGATATTCACACAGTGTATGGCTCTTCCACCTACAGGGTCTTCGTCAATGGCTTTAAGATATTGATAGAATGGGGCCATGGACTCCCCATCACAGTCCACTTTAGAACATTCTCATCATCTCAGAAAGAAACCCTGTACCCCTTAGCTGTGACTCCCACTTCCTCTCAGCCACAAGCAGCTACCAATCTAACTTCTACCTCCATAAGTCTCTCTGTTCTAGATGTTTCACAGGGACAAGATACATGCTGTGTTTTATGTCTGGGTTCTTGTTGTTATTGGGACTGGGACTCACTCTGTAGCCCAAGATGCCCTGAACCCACAGTGATCTTCCTGTCTTGGCCTCCTGAGAGCTGGGATTACAAGTATGCACCACCATGCCTGGTTATGTCTGGCTTCTTTTATCTGACACTGTATCTTCAAAGTTCATCTAAGTTGCAATATTATTACACCATTCCTTTTTCATGACTAAATATTATTTTCCATTTGGTGAATAGACATCGTTTTGGCTGTGAGCATGTGTCTTCATTCCATTTCTAGGAATCGAGTATTCAAATAGTGCAGATGTTTTAAGGACACCTAGATCATTCTTATCCCTCTCTTTGCTTAGAGATAACCCAGGCACAAGACTAAGCATTTCTTTCAGTTCTTGTTTTTGTGTTGACTCACACATTGTGGGCTAGTTGCGTACGTGGACTCATTTTACCCAATTGTTCTATTACCTGTTTTGCTCACCTCATTGTGTGCCTGGGTCATCCCCCAATTAGTACATATGGAACAAAATCACAGTTTTAGTGTTTTAAGAAAGAAAGCTGGGGAGATAGTTCAGTGAAATAAGCACTTGCCTGGCAAGGGCAAGGACCTGAGTTCAATCCCCAGTTCCACCAAAAACAAAAGCAAAAAAAAAAAAAAGAAAGAAAGAAAACTTTGTAGTTGGGTGTAGTGATGCACACCTGCAGTCCTGAATACCTTGGGGGCTGAGGCGGGAGGAGGCCAAGGTTGATCCCTGCCTTGGCAACTTTATGAGACTATGTCTCAAGATAAAAAATTAAAAGGGCAAGGGATCCAGTTCAGCATCCAGTACCCCCAAACCCCAAAACAATCCCAAAAATATTATTGAAAAAGTTATCTATAGGTAACACCACAAGTCTTTCTTTTCAGTGAACTAAGAAAAATGAGTAGTACATATGAAACAAATTAGCATCTAATAGGGCCTGGGAGATAGTTCAGTAGTGTAAGTGCCTGCCTCACAAATGCAAGGTCCTGAGTTCAATCCCAGGTAACACACACACACACACAAAAACAAAAAAACAAAAAAACAAAAAACAAAAAACAAAAAACAAAAAACAAACAAAAACAAAAACAAAAACCCAAACAAAGCAGAAGATCCTATCTGTGAAAGATATGTAGTATTGTTGGGCTAGCAAGATAGCGCAGCAGACTAAGTGCCTGCTTAAGCAAGTGCAGGGACTGGGGTTCCATCCCTGGGACCACAAACAGCATCGGCTTTGCCCCCAGGCACACTAAGCCGGCCGCTGAGACTGGACGTGGTGATGCATGCCTGCAATTCCAGTGCTGTGGAGGCTGAAAACAAGAGGATCACAATGAATCTGAGCTGTATAGTGAGACTCTGTACCAAAAACATCAAACAAACAAAATACCACCAACAGCAAAACAAATTAGCATTTATAGTGAAATAGTTTTGAAACAATTGGATAGAGAATTTGGGGAAATAGTTGAACTTTTTCCTGTTTTCTATTTATCTATCTTTTTGCCTATGACTTGTACTCAGAACATTTTGGTCATTCTTGTAACATTATGATACAAAGTGCATTAACTATTGCCATTCTGTATTTCATTATGAAATTATTCTATTTGTAATAGAAAATTTATATGCATAATGTGTAAAAGTCTCAAGTGTGTGGTTCAGTGAATTTTCACAAACTGAACATATCCAACCACACCTGTTGAAGAACAGAATACAACTAACACTATATCCCTGAATTTCCTTTTTTTTCTT